TAATTATAATGCTTTCAATTATTAATGTAATACATATACATATTATATAATAGTCTGTATCTCTCAATCGTCTCTCACTTATGTATTACACATCTCCTGATATGTTTAAATAAATTATATTTTATTAATAGTGAAAAAAAAGTATAAGCTTTGTATATATTGCAATATATATTGTGAGCACCGGGAGGTTGTCCGCCTAATCACCGGCTCACGGTTACCGTGAACTAGCTTATTATATCTTGGTGATTTTATTTAAACTTGGATATTTAAATGATTACAACTAAATATTTTTCAAAAAGGCCTTTATTTGCAATAAATACAGTAATATATAAAAATGATATTCACTCGAGAGCTCCACTAAATAGACTGTTCTTAATGTAGAGCATAACATGTGTTTATATAGAGAGGACAATTTTTACTAAGAAACAAGGATTGCATTTATACTGTACTAAAAGTTTAACAGGCTGTTAATAATTAGCAAATTTATCTATAAAATTAAACAAAACCTTTCTTAAAAACTAGGCTTTTGAGTGAGTAGGCGTTTTGGGACAGACCTATCATAGTGCCCTGTATCTATATTTGAAGCAATATCATACAGATGTCTATAATCGCCAACATTACTAGTGGTCACTCTATCGCCCAAAGGCCTGATCACTGCCTTAAACTTCTCGATGGATGTAATAAACTGTTCGCCGGTCCGGATGTGTTCGTTGACCAATCGGGAGGGCGTGTGGGCTAACCATTGGGCCAGTGATATGTCCTCAAAGGTGTCGGAGGCGAACACCTCCAGAAACACGCAATCCGTGTCCCCCGTGTTCTCGATGTAATGAGGGACGGACTGTCCGATATAGCCCACGTCCCCCTCTTGCATGTCCACTGTCCGGGCATTACTGGCCGCCGCAAATACGCCCATTCGGGCCTTACCTGGGTAGAAAGCAAATAAAAGTTTAATCAAGATAAGAATGGGGATTATTTTAGCTTGTTATTTATGTTGGATTAATTTTAAAGTTTTTTATTTAGTTTAAAGTTTTTAATATACATATTCAAAAAATTATTTTGGGATATGAGAATCTCCAATATATTTATGTTTTTAATAAACAATGTACAATGAAAACAAATTTGATGTTTATCGTACAGTCTGAAATTTAGTATTAATTATAAATAAGACTATAGTATGCAATTTGTTTTAGTAACTTTAATTTAAGACTCTGAACAAAAAAAACTTTTTTGTATAACATTTATTTATACAATAATTATTAAAAATCATTATTTTTAGTTTAACATCAAGTTATTAGAGAAATAATGCACACAAATCTCATCACTAGTTATTACAGTAATTAAGACTGTACACTTAATTCAAAACTTGTATGTTATTTATAATTAGTAAAAAAACAAAAGTATTGGAGTATAATTCAGACAATTTTTTTTGAGTACAATAACATAGCATTTTAATTATTATAAAACATATGGTGACAAACCTTTCACAAAGTAGTTCCACTCATCGGCATTCGGGTGCCAATGGAGTTCCCGGAGTCCGCCAGGTTTTAGGGTTACAATAGCCGATGATATGTTAGTAACGGGAAAGTTACGCCTATCAATAATTTTAACCTCCCCTCCCAATCGAGTTACATTAGGCGCCATTTGTGATGTGAAAAATGCAAATGATTCAGGCACAAATCCGGTACCCTGAGCCGCCTGGTGCTGCTCCACCTCCAATGGCCGGGGAAGTTCGCTGGCAAATATGTACAGGTCCTTTTGGGGTAAGTTGTTGAATGTCGATTTTGAGACCTCGAAGTTTTTAGCAAGGACTTCTAGTGGTATGTGCCTCATCCAGTCACTGAGCAAGAACGTTTCAAACTCGTTGAAATTGCCATCGGCGAACACCAGTAGGAAAAAGCAACCATCATCGCCGATACCTGGGTATGAATTTTACAATATGTGGTATAAATTAAAATTCAAGGTGTTTTTAAAAACTATAAACATTAATTAGATAAATAACAAATGAATCATTGATTTAAAATTTAAAACATTTTAAAAACTTCGCAATTATAATACAAGTACATTATTAAAAAGGAGTAAACAAATAAAAATAAAATACTAATGTGTTCATAATAACCGGCTTTATGCAAGTATTG